TCAATCAAGTGTCTGGCCAGGATTTCTTTGACACATTCAGTCCGGTGGTAAAACACTAAAACCTACAACTATAAGACTTCTTTTGTCTTTAGCTTTATCTTCTGGGTGGACTATCAGGCAATTGGATGTTCATAATGCTTTCTTGAATGGTAATCTTGCTGAAACTGTGTATATGAAGCAACTTCCTGGTTATGTTGATGCTAATTTTCTATCTCATGTCTACTTGCTAAAGAGGTCTCTATATGGATTAAAACAAGCTCCTAGAGCCAGGTTTAATCGTTTACATGCATTTTTATTATCAGTTGGTTTTCAAGCATCCAAAACAAATGTTTCTTTGTTCTTTTATTCTAAGGATTCTGCCTTAGTCTATCTATTGGTTTACGTAGACGACATTCTTGTAATGGGAAGTGATCATGTTTTGGTTTCTCACCTAATATCAAAACTGTCAACTACCTTCAAAATCAGAGATCTTGTAAGCCAAATTTCTTTCTGGGGATTGAAATTGTTAATTGCAATGATGGAATTATTTTATCTCAGCAACGGTATATGAATGATATTCTTAAACGTGCTAGAATGACTGAGTGCAAACCTCTTTCTACTCCTATCTCTACTTCGAAACAGGTTCCACTCAGTCTAGATTTGTATGATGATCCTACACAGTACAGGAGTCTAGATAGGGCTTTGCAGTATCTCACAGTCACGCGTCCTGATGTATGACACTGGGAACAGCTCAAACGTGTACTCAGGTATGTGAAAGGCATTCTCGGCCTCGAATTGCGCATTCGGCGGGGTCTAGTTCAAAGGAGATTCATGTTATTTCTGATTCTGATTGGGTTGGTTGTCCAGAAGATCGTAAGTCCACAAGTGGGTATGTAGTTTTCTTGGGTACTAATATCATATCTTGGGTTTGTAAGAAACAACGAACTGTTGCTAGATCTTCCGCTGAAGCTGAATACAAAGCTCTAGCTGAAATTTGTGCTGAGGTTTTATGGGTGATATCATTGCTGCGTGAGATACATGTTCCGGGAATATCAACTCCAAAGCTATGGTGTGACAACCTGGGTGCTACCTATATGAGTGTTAATCCAATTTTTCATGCACGTACCAAGCTTGTAGAAATTGATTATCACTTTGTTCGTGACGGAGTAGCTTCAGGCGACATTCAAGTGAACTTTATTTCTACAAAAGATCAACTTGCTGATATATTCACCAAAGCTTTGCCTGGTCCTAGATTTTCTTCACACAGGGACAAACTACAAGTCACTAGTGTACCATGTGCTTGAGGGTGAGTATTAGGACTCTATGTATTTGAGTCAATTTAGGTCTCCTACTCGTAGTCGCTATGAGACTCTTTACTGTATATATTCCCTTTTACCTGAACTCATTGTAATTAAGTTCTGTTAATACAATTCCATCAGTTCTCATCGTCTAGATGTGTTATAATTTTTTAAAAGACTCAAGTCCTTGATTCAAAATTCAGGTTTACATTTCCTCCTTTTTTATGCCTGCCACTTTTGACTTCTCAATTCCCTTGGATGAAGAAATTCATCCAGAAGGGATCTTTTAACAGTAGCTGAATCAGCAACCTCATTCAACCTGTTTTTTTAGGGATCTGTAGTGGCATGACTGTTTACCTCATCCCCTTTCGATGCTTCCTGAAAATTAAGGATTAAATTTCAGTGTAAACCTAGCTATATAGGTATTTGAAATCAAAGTTAGAAAGTTTTACATTTGAATCTTCTTGACAGTTTTCTACCTCTTCAATCATCTTTGAAATCAGATCCTTCTCTTGATTTCCAACAAATCTAGAACAGTAGGTAGACACTAAAACATCATCCCTAAGCAATCTCATCACATTAAAAGCTGAAGTAGGTCATCTCATTTGATCTTTCTTATTGAAAAGCATTGTCATTCCATTTAGTGCCTCCAACTCGGGGGGGGGGGGGGGGGGGGGGGGTATGGCAACAGAACCCTGTTAAGTATTAGGATTATCAATTACATTTTCTGTCCTAGAAAGTTTTATAAAATGATTTTATAATTTTAAATACCTTTTTGTATTTCTGATACAAGATAGATGTTGGAATGCCCACCAATTCAAAAACTTCCTTATTCCAGAGTAGGAATTGAGCATCTCATGTCTTGTCTAGAACTCTAACCACCAGTTTATATCTCACTGTACCCTCAGGATATTTTCTGTCACACTTAGAACAGAATAGTAACCCTTCATCTTTCTTTAGCTTCTTATTACACCCTGCTGTCATGCAAGAAATGTAGTACCACTGACCAGAACCTTCTATACCAACTATCTCTGCAAGCACATAAAACTCACCATCCTGGAATATAGAAATAGATGTATTAATAAAATAAAATAGGTTCAATGTAAGAAAAATTAACTAAGAAAAAATGTCTAAGAAATCTATCACCTCTTGAAGCTTATAAAGATCATAGATTGTAGAGACAATGAGAGAATCCTTCTGGAAACCACTAAGACTGTTGATTGTGAGTGAACTGTGCCAGTACTGAGACGGAGTATTTTCAGCTTTTAACCTAAAAAATATATATATTATTTAGAGCATATGAGAGATTATTAGAAGTGAAAAATTCATTTAATCATATATGAAGTATATATACTTACTTGGATTCGAATTCCAAAAATTCATTAAAAGACTCATTAAACCACAACTTTGTGGCATCATATGAGCTTGTTATCCTCACCTCACCTTAAAAAAATTATGATTTTTTTTGTGACAATTAAACACTGAAAATAGTATTAGTAATTAAGAAATAACAATAGAGAAAAACTTACCATTTACAACATTGGCCCTACACAACTGAATTACTACAACTAGTGGTTCTTTGGAATCAGAATTGTAGTAAGGGATTAGAGAAGATACATGTTCATCCCATACTGTGCACTTCAATGTATTATCACTGTAATTAGATTAAAAGATTAAGAACTAAAAACAGTTCTCTATATTCTAAATATAGAGACTAAATTAATTTTAATCTTACGCTTTGTCACATATAAGGAAGTCAATGTAGTACACGTTTGAATTTTTGAAGTCAATGTAGTACACGTTTGAATTTTTTTTATTGACTTCCTTATATGTGACAATGCGTAAGATTAAAATTAATTTAGAATATAGAGAACTGTTTTAGTTCTTAATCTTTTAATCTAATTACAGTGATAATACATTGAAGTGCACAGTATGGGATGAACATGTCTCTTCTCTAATTCCTTACTACAATTCTGATTCCAAGGAACCACTAATTGTAATAATTCAGTTCTGTAGAGTCAAGGTTGTAAATGGTAAGTTTTTCTCTATTGTTATTCCTTAATTACTAATACTATTTTCAGTGTTTAATTGTTACAAAATAAAATTCTAATTTTTTAAGGTGCGGTGAGGATAACAAGCTTATATGATGCCACAAAGTTGTGGTTTAATGAGTCTTTTGATGAATTTCTTGAATTCAAATCCAAGTAAGTATATATACATCATATATGCTGAAATGAATTTTTTTACATCTAATAGTCTCTCATATGCTCTAAATAATATTTTTTTTTTAGGTTAAAAGTTTAAAATACTCTTGTAAAAAGTCTTAGTACTGGCGCAGTTCACTCACAATCAACAAGTCTTAGTGGTTTCTAGAAGGGTTCTCTCATTGTCTCTACCGTCTATGATCTTTATAAGCTTCTAGATTTCTTTGACATTTTTTCTTAGTTAATTTTTCTTACATTAAACCTATTTTTATTTTATTAATACATCTATTTCTATATTCCAGGATCATGAGTTTTATGTGCCTGCAGAGATAGTTGGTATAGAAGGTTCTGGTTAATGGTACTACATTTCTTGCATGACAGTAGGGTGTAATAAGAAGCTAAAGAAAGACGAAGGATTACTATTCTGTTCTAAGTGTGAAAAAAAATATCCTGAGAGTACAGTGAGATATAAACTGGTGATTAGAGTTCTAGACAGGACAAGATATGCTCCATTCTAACTCTGGAATAGGGAAGTTGCTGAATTGGTGGGCATTCCAGCATCTATTTTTTTTTATCAGCAATACAAAAATGTATTCAAAATTAGAAAATCATTTTATAAAACTTTCTAGGAGAGAAAATGTAATTGACTAATCCTAATACTTAACAGGGTTCTGTTAACATTCTCTTTGAGTTGGAGGCACTAAATGGAATGACAATGCTTTTCAAAATAGGGTTTAAGAAAGATCAAATGAGGGGACCTACTTCAGCTTTTAATGTGATGAGATTGCTTAGGGATGATGTTTTAGTGTTTACCTACTGTTACAAATTTGTTGAAAATCAAGAGAATGATCTGATTTCAAAAATGATTGAAGAGGAAGAAAACACTCAAGAAGATTCAAATGTAAAACTTTCTAATTTTGATTTCAAATACCTATATAGCTGGATTTACACTGAAATTTAATCTCTAATTTTCATGAAGCATCAAAAGGGGATGAGGTAAACAATCCTGCCACTACAGATCCCTCAGAAAACAGTTTGAATATAGTTGCTGATTCAGCTACTGTTAAAAGATCCTTTATATACTAGATGAGTTTTCTTCATCCAAGGGAATCAAGAAAGTGGCATGCATTAAAAAAAAAAAAAAAAAAATGTAGACCTGAATTTTGAATCAAGCACTACTATTGGTAATCATTCTCATTCCACCCTACTACCAAACATGTTAAATACTTTCACCAAAATCCATTACCATTACCAAGTATTTGATATCCATTCTGATTTCGATTCTCATGTGTAAACCAAACACACCCAAAGATTTGTAGGATAGGTTTGAGGTATGACTAATTTATATTGCAATTCAAAAATTAATTTTGGCCATTCCAAATTAAATGTTATTTGCAATGTACTTTTCCAGGAAGGTCACTATTTTGTCCCTAGTAAAATTGTTGGACTGGAGAGTGGTAGGCATTGGTATTATAATTCTTGCAGGACAAAAGGAGACTATAAGAACCCTGATCTCAAGGAGGGTTTTCTAAAATGTGACAAGTGTTTGGTTAATTGGCATGAGGGAACTCTGAGGTATAGATTAGTTGTTAAGAGTTGTTGATAAGACCAGCAATGCCCCATGTCAACATTACATTTTTTTATTTTTGTTCTTATTATATGTTATATTATGTTTATGTTTTTTCTATGTTTTGTTTTTTTGTTTTTTTTTTTTTTTTAATGCAGAAGATTGATTGGAGAGCATTTTCCTAGCTACATCAAGTGTAAATTATTTTGTAATAAAATCTTTTCATATATTAGAAATTTCATGTGCATGGTTTTGTTTGAAAAAAAAAAAAAAAAAAAAAATCTCTATGACTCTATCATACTTCCTAGCATACTTATCAAGTATAATAATAAAGAAAAAAATCACAATCATACATGTGATAAAAAATGATTAACACAAGTTTACCCAATTTAAATAACCTTTCATCAACTTCATATACCAAGATCAGATATGTCTATCTTCTCCACCACTTTTCAACAGGTTTATTGGAGCCTGAACCCCTCAATTATTTCTCCTATAATAAAATGAGTAAACAAATTTAAGTCTAATCATTTGCTAGATTAAAAAAAAAAAAAAAGTTTTGGTCAATTAGTTAAGTAATTTAAGTACTTATTATATATTATATATTTAATTTGTTACCTTACATTTTCTTGATGAAACAAGATCAAATTTGTCTCCTGCCACTCTTTTTCAACATCTTCATTGGAGACTAAACCTGATATCATTTTGTTTGGTTTATGTTATCAACCTATATAATTGGTGATTTAGATAAACTATAAAATTAGTCAACCTATATAATTGGTGATTTAGATAAACTATGAAATTGGATCATGGTGGACTAACAGTTAACATAAAGTCCAAAATCTAAGCAATACATTGTTCATAATTTACAAGAAAAAGGCTTAATACTTTAAAGAATTCACAGAAATAAAGGAATTACCATGTCATTGTGATTTTGTGTGTGTATATATATATATATATATATATATATATATATATATATATATATGGGATGATTAAATTATAGCATTATAAATACAGTATTAACTATTACATAATTAATTATAATTAATTCATAACCGACTATAATCATAATTATAAACATAATATTAACTAATAATTAATTATACTCCGTAATTAATTCATAACCGACTATAATAATCATATTACAAAAATGTTACGCTAAAAAATTTTGTAGCCGTAAAGTTCTTAAAATTTCTTCCGAAATCTTACGGCTCCATATCAATTTTTTTTGTCTTACTTCAACAAACTTGAATTCAATTTGACCCGACTCAAATCAGAAATGGACCTACATACATATATTCCAATATTTGTACCACATGAAATTATCATTTGTTAATTAAAATTTTCAACATTTATTACCCCTATTATATTAAAAAAAAAAAATTAAAGTAGAAAACAATAATCATATACAAATACATTTTTTTAAAAAAAAAACATCTAAGTTCTTTTTCAACCTAAAAATTGGATTGTTTCTAATCATGCATTCCTTTTATTATATTATATTATAATAATGTAGTCTGTAATATTTGTGTCACACAGGATCACATCATCACATGTTCTAATTTGTTTGTCTCAAAATTTGTGTCAATCATTGTGATGGTACGCAAAATAAACGAAAAATATGAGACAGGATGAGGATGAAATATCAATCATTATTGTGCGAAACATAGTTCGATCCATAGTCCACACGGCTCTGTAAATTATACTATCAAATAATATATATTTAATATATAAATAATGTACTTTTAGTATATTAAAAATATACATTGTATTAAAAGAATACATTATTTAGATATTAAAAATACATTGTTTTGTATAATTTACCAATAACACCAATAATGCATGTTACACGCACCAAGAGTATCACTGCCGAGCGGTCATGGGCGTTTAATATCTTCTTTTATATGTTATTTTTTCCCACATTTCTTTCTACCTTTTTCTCATACTTGGTGAAAAAACCTAACAAACTTCCAAACTATTGAAAATCATCTAACATTTTTTGAAAATCATCTAACATATATTCCCTGCTCCAAATCATTTACTTTCTCCATCTCTCTCATTTATCCATCGTATTTACTATACATGGGTCAAATTAACATTTTCATTTTTGTTTATTTAAAAAAAGTCTTATAATTTTTAAAGTATATATATCTTTTGTATTTAATACTCCATAATACTTTTAATATAATTTCTAAATATAAATTTTTGATATTAATACTAAATATTTCAAAAAAAATTAAATAATTTAAATTATATCTTATTCGTTCAGTGAATGAAACACATAAAATAAATGAAAATGAGTACAAACGAAATGCAACGCTTTTGGAATGCGAGTGTTGTATCGTTTCCTCTTTTTCGTATCTTTCTTCTCATGTGACATGTCCCTTTCTTTGCCTTTCAGATTAAAATAGTTTATTTCCCTTCCGTTGCATAGCTCACTCTTATTTTGCATTTTATCTTATTTATTACATTATCTCCGTCCTTAAAATATTCATTCACTTTTAAAAGATAATATAATAATAACATTAAATTATTATATTAAAAAAAAAAAAGGCATATATTTGACAAGGTGAGACTTGATGGTGTCAATATTGCAAGTTTGGAATACAATTGGTAAATAAAAAATAAAAATTAATTATCCTATGTAATAAAGACTGCAAAATTAAAGTGGACACCCTTTTGATTTTTGAATGATGCAAATGATACAATCTCATATCAACTCCACAAGAGGCTATGGAGTGATAAGGTTAAGACCCTAACTCTATCACAAAAGCTAATTCATAAGTGAAGACTTAACCTCAACTTAAGTACCTATCTATAATCTCTTGTGAGACCGATGTGGGATCATATAAGCAAATGAGCTTATGACTAAAGAAAAATAATAATATGTCGTTTCATCGGAATTGCTCAAGTTATCACCCAATCAGAGTGTTAAACTACCCATCAATGGTGGTGATGAAGACTTCTTTTGCACATGAGTGTACAAGCAACGTGTGACTCTAGAATATAATCTGGCAAGTAAAAAAGTATTGATATTTGGAGTATGTCCTCTATTTTTTTCTAGGAAAACTGTAACACTGATTTGTGTGAAGCAATTTGAAAGATAAGAGTGCAAGTATGTGGAGTTTGGTTTTTAAGATATGAAATTAAATTGACTGTCAAGCACTTTGTGCTCAGATGACACCTCTATGGCTCCCTTTAAGAGAATGTCACAAGATCGAATTCCGTGGTGGGGTATTGACTCTTTAGACTGCAATACTTAGAAAAAGTATAGAAACTACCTTGTAATAGAGTCAATAGTATTAAAAAAGGAGTTTATTACCGAAATGGTCCCTTGACTATTGCGAAATTACCATTTTGGTCCTCAACAATTTTTCTTTTCCAATTAAGTCCTTCGACTTTGAAAAAGTTAACCATTTTGGTCCTCCGTTAGGTCAGGAGTTAAAAATCTGTTAAATTAAAGGACATTGATGGAATTTCACATTTAAAAGTCTGTTGTTATGCTCCCTCTTCCTGCTCAAGGCCGGCCATCTCAACCAGCTTCTTCAGTTTTGCTGCTTATTCTCCTCCCATGGACTCCGTGTTCACTACATCGGATCTGCCATCCACAACCAACAAGCCAGAGTTCGTGCAAATGGCGGCTTAGACCCCAACAAAATAGCCAAAATTCATTTCCATATTCTCCCAACTCTAGATTTCGATTGCCCATCCCCCAACCCCAACGCCTCCTTCAAGTTCCCCACTCATTTGCAGCCAAACTGGGACGCGTCGCAGCTTCTCCGCCACCCCACAACGCGTCTTCTCCGGGAATTAGCGTCTAAAGCTAGAAGAATCGTGGTTATTCATGACTATGTGATGTCTTACATTGTTCAGGATGTGCGCGTCAATCCTCAATGCTGATCCCTATAACTTCAATTGCGTGTCGATTTTGTCTATGGAGTATGGTTTCTTACATGTATAGAGGATTAGGAAAGACGTATTTCGCAGATGGAGAGTTGCGAGAGCAACTGCCACATCCTGAGGGTTGCACAACAGATGAAATCGTGAGGCTTGGGATTTCTCATATGGAGGCTTTGAGTGTGAGAAGTGGAGACATTTCAATAGGGCTTCATCGATGATGGTTGAGGCGGCGATCCGGAGGTCCATAATTTGCTATTTTAAATATTTAGTGTTGTGCAAGGAAAATCGTACTAGTTTGTCAAGTGATTGAGGAATTATGTTTGAAAGGTCAATGGTAGTAGAACCCTTTGTTTTGTTTTGCTTTTCTTTTCTTTTAAAACCAAAGTTGAGAAGTTCCAGAACACCATTGGATTGACTTCCATTCTCAAGTCCCCATTGTCTGTGTATTCTTGCCTCCCTCAATTTATTGAAACTAAGGAACTGTTTTTGAATTAATTTTCTGGAAAGGGAAGGCTTTTCGAACAAGGATGGTGAGGATTTAAATTTATGTTTGAAATTTTTTGCTATGATGCCATACAAACCAACTGCAACTGTTATACAATTTTATTTTCAGAGTCCGAAGTTATTTATGTCCTATTCGTTAGATAAATTCAAATTTTGAGCTAAATTGTTTGCTTAAATCAACTGGTTTTTCTGCTTCCTATGTTGCAGGTACCGTGCCATTACTAGTGCTTTACTACAGAGGAGCATTGGCGGAGTTGGAAGCTCTCTACTTCATGGAAACCTCTGCACTGGAAGACACGAATGTGGAAAACGCCATTGAAATGGGTCTCCTACTCTTCTCATATTAAAATGGGTATTTCTCATATTAAAATGGGTTAATCAATTAAGAAATGGGTCTTCTCATGTGAAATTTCATAAATGCCCTCCAATTTAACAGATTTTTAACCCCTGAACTAACGGAGTAACGGAGGACCAAAATAGTTAACTTTTTTAAAGTCGGAGGACTTAATTGGGGAAGAAAATTTGTTGATGACCAAATTGGTAATTTCGCAATAGTCGAGGGACCATTTCGGTAATAAACTCTTAAAAAAGATATGAAATCCAATTCACTTCAAAACAAACAAAAAAATAAATAAAAATAAAAAGGGAAAATGGTCAAATAGGCCCTCGAACTTTAGTTTAAAAGTCAATTAGGCCCCTAAATTTTCTAAAGGTGCAATTACACCCATCAACAATTCATTTAAGTGCAATGAAGCCCAAAAACAAATTAATGACCTGCTATCACAGGTCATTAGGGTTCAGGCCACCTTCCGGCGAATTTTTCGGCAAAAAAAAAAAAAGTGACCGGAGAAATTTTCGACAAAAGAAGTGACCGGCGAAATTTTCGGCAAATCTAGGTCAGTTGCTAGTCACATTTTTTTTGTTGGAAAATTCGCCGGAAGGTGGCCTGAACCTTAATGACCTGTGATAGCAAGTCATTAACTTGTTTTTGGGCTTCATTGCACCTAAATGAATTGTTGATGGGTGTAATTACACCTTTAAAAAATTTAGGGGGCTAATTGACTTCTAAACTAAAGTTTGAGGGCCTATTTGACCATTTTCCCAAATAAAAATGATGAAATCCAATTCAAAATTTGTCCATTGCGTGACTAGAGAGCCCTTCCCACTATATATAATATCGAATTTGCCATTGTACTTTGACTCCACTTTTCCAACGGCTCATTTTTCTCCCACTGGGTGTATGTGTTCACCAGTGTCCAGTGACCATCAAAACTATTCTGTTTTAACATTTTTAGCTCATGTAAAGAAATTAGTTACTAACTTGTTATTATTATTTTTTTTTTAAATGAGCGGTCTAAATTGAATGAAATTAGTTCAAATTATTGAAATTTTAACCCCATAAAAATATATGAAAAATGAACAAAAGCTTATATATTGTTATTATTGTAAAGGTCTTTTTTATTTTACTTTTTATTTGGTAGTACAGCACATTTATAGCAGGTTGTGTATATAATTATATACATTAATGATCCATCTCATACTTGCATTACATAACTCCACCTTTAACTGCTATGGGACCCAAATGAAAATAAGTCCGTTATTTCTAATAAATTTTGTGTGCTTTTAATACAATTCACCTGAAAATAATAATAATAATAATAATAATAATAATAATAATAATAATAATAACAACAACAACAACAACAACAATAATAATAATAACAATAATAATGTCAATGACCTTATGGTATAGTGACATAAAGTGGTTCTCTAGGAGTAAATAGTGATAATATTTTACTAAATGATTATTATTTTATTTATAAAAATAAAACAATCACTTTAAAAAACAAATACTCATGATTCTTTATAATATAGTATTTGTTTTATATTTTCTTAAAAAAATTTAGCCCAATTTTTTTTTTTTGAATCCTACTGACTCTATTACAATGTAGTGTCTGTTCATATACTTTCTCAACCTACTGAGAACCAATAACGTCTCTACTGAGGCTCAAACTTACAACCTTTCAAATGGAAGTCCAACCCGGGTACATTAGACCACATAGTCTTTGTAGCCCAAATAATTTAAACTCTCACAAGTCAATTTGAATTTATGACAGACGTTATGCCATGGAACCGTGTTCACCATTCATGGTGAACACGGTTCCAACGGTGTTAGTGCACCGTTATCTTTTTTTTTTTTAATTAATTACGTGACTGCCTACACATTCACTTTGGAACCATGCCTACACATTCACTTTGGAACCATGAGATTATGAATTTTCTGTTATGAGATTATGAATTTTCTGTTATGAGATTATGAATTTTCTGTTATGCGATTATGAATTTTCTGTTATGAGATTATGAATTTTCATTACATTCATAATTTCGGAGTTTCGGACATTCATAAATTATGAATTCATGCATGCACATTCACTTTGGAACCATGCCTACATATTCCCGTCCGAAATCACGGACATTCATAAATTATGAATCCATGCCTGCACATTCACTTTGGAACCATGCCTACACATTCACTTTGGAACCATGAGATTATGAATTTTCTATTATAAGATTATGAATTTTCTGTTATGAGATTATGAATTTTCAGTTGTGAGATTATGAATTTTCTGTTATGCGATTATGAATTTTCTGTTATGAGATTATGAATTTTCATAAAATTCATAATCTCATAACAGAAAATTCATAATTTGATCAGTAACGCGCCGTTAACTCCACATCCGCGATTTTTTTTTTTTTTTTTTTTTTTGCCTAAAAACGACGTCGTTTTGACTTGTGTTCACCATTCTCGGTGAACACGATTCCACGGCATAATTTGCGCATATATGACCACTCATTTGTAATGGTAATCGAAATTTTAACCCAAAAAAATTACTCCCACAATTAAGTTTAAATTTACGACAACTCATTTGTAATGGTATTCGAGATGCCATTACAAAACATGGAAGTTGGCACAATAATTTTTTATTTAAAAGTATCGATTTGAGATTATCAAATTTGTATAACAATAACTTTTTAAAATAATTTTTCTCTCAAAAATAACTTTTTAAGATAATTAAATAATTTAAATTTCTTTAGCACTAACCTCCGGGGAAGTTGTGTCTATGTAGAAGGCGACAAGAGTGGCCGAACGGCGCTCTCAACCATATTTGGACCAAGTCAATATCCTTTTTTGGTTAATGCGCCCATTTTTTCAAATTAAGGGGGTGTATTCAATCATGACTTTTGTAGAGTTTTAATGACTTTTAAAATAATAGATTTTAATAAACTTTGATTGACTTTCATAGAGTCGTTCAAAACTTTTTAAAACTTTATAAGACTCTATAAAAGTTTATATAAAAAACATTCATAGACTTTTATCAACTTTTTATTTTAAAAAGTCTACAAAACTCAATGAAATTATAAATTGAATACATCCTTACAAACTTTCAATGATTTTGATTCTTATCTTTTATAATTTTCTTACAAAATATTTATAATATATCATAAAATTCTTCTTATTATATAGTTCTTCACCCACATCAACATTCTCAACATTATTATTTTTATCCATAGTATGCTGAGACTTATATGCTAATTACTTATATATATTATTAATAAACATCAACAAAAAAAAAAATATTTCATTAGAAATTCATAATAATATTGAACAATAAAATTCATAATAAAAGACTTGATCAAATAAAATATTTAAAAACATAATTACAAGTTGCATAAGATAAAAAAATAAAAATCTAATATTAATAATATATATAAAATTATCCTTGATATGTTGCTAGGCATCACACAAAGAACTATTATTTACAATAGCAATTTGAGACTACAAACAACAACAAGGTGCTACTGTTTGCAACTCCAAATTGTTGTTGCGAACAGTAATTCACTATACGTAGTAACCTGTTGTTGAAAAAAAAAAAGGAAAAATATATATTACGAATATAAACATAAAATAATAAAAATCAAAATATATAAGTATTTATATGAATATTACGAAACATATACTAATAAAATTTGACGATGAAAATTTTGCTTTGTTCATGTATTTAGGGAGAATTAGAGAAAGTTAGGGATAAAAATTCATAGAAAAAAAAAATAAAAAACCAATGTAAACAAGCAATAATGAAGTAAAAATAATATTATTTCGAATTTTTAGATAAAGTTCTAAAGTTTATAAGAGAGAAAAATTGGTAGAGTTTAGGTGTGAGGAAAATATAAGATAATGAAGAAAAAAAACACTTTTATTGAATTTAGATAGGTTTATAGAGTTTAAATAGGGAGAAAAAATAGAGTTTAAATAGAGAGAGAAAACATTCAAAGTTGTTAGAAAGAAAATTTAAAATCTTGGGGTTGATGGTTGGATTTCAACTATTTATATTTGTGAAGGAAAAGTCTACAAAAGTCTATAAAAGTCTTTAAATTAAAAAGTCTACAAAAGTTCATAACTTCTTGAATACCACATGACTTTTAAAGACTCTTTTAAAAGTCTTAATCGAATACCACACGACTTTTAAAGACTCTTTAAAAATCTTGATTGAATACCGCCTGACTTTTAAAGACTCTCTAAAAGTTTGAATTGAATACCTCCAAACTTTTAAAGTTCATAAAAGTCTTTAAAACTCTATGAAAGTCATGATTGAATACACCCCCCTAATTTTAGTTTTCCTTCTTCAAAAGATTGATTCTTCAAAGGCTTTCATATTAAATAGAGTCAAATACCGACGACAAATAATCTCAGCACGTTAGGCATAGGGGTTGGAATAGACCAGGCCTCTTGCAGGGGCTTATGTCCTGGCCTAATAAAAGCCTAGTTAGGCCTAGCTCGTTTAATAAAAAGGTCAGGCTTGAGTCAATTTCAAAGCCTATTAAACTAAACAGGCCAGACCTATATATATCAGGTTCGGCCTTCAGGCCTACAGGCCTGGCCTATATATATATATATATATATATATATATATATATATATATATATATATATATATGTTTACAATAAACTCCAAGTATATATTATTTAGATATACTAAAATTTTGTATACTTATGTAATTATGTATTAGTTTTATATTAGGTACATTTCTTATATTATTTAGATATACTAAAGTTTTTAAAAAGTCTTAACATGTATGCTTTAATAGGCTAAGGTATGACATACTTTGAACCTTTTTTAATGACCTAAATATTAAACAGGCTTTAAAAAGGCTTCAGGCCAGGCCAGATTAATTGCAGGCTCAGGCTTGAGCCTAACAACAAGCCTACATACAGGCTCAGGCCCAGGCCTAGGCTTTAGATTTTCGTAATAGGCTCAGGCCTAATTTTCCAAAGCTCGGCTCGGCT